TTCTAAAAATGGACTGATCTCAAAAGCTCTGTGGGCTGGGCAGGCTTTGAAGCTTATGGTCATTTATGGAATTAGAACCTTCTCCTCCCCCATGGAGCTTCCTGGTGCTCCATGGGGACTACAATGAAGAATTACACCACAGTATCTCCTGACCAAGCAGAGCAGAAAACAGATCCAGAGTCCTGTAGAGAACCAAAATAAGCCTCTTTACAAGCCCATGAAGGTGTCAAGATTAGAGTCCAGTGCCCAAAATATAACAGGAAGGTGCAAGTTTTCTTTCCTTTCCTCACGCCTTATCCATGCCTGCCTCCCCTTCCTTCCACCATCCATTTCCTCTGAGGCAGTAATCAAAACAGAGTCTCAGGTGAGTAAGTTTCCCCATCACTTTCCCCAAGAATTCCACAATGGGTAACATCAGTGACATCGCAGAGTTCCAGGCAGCGGCAGGTTTGTAGCCTGTTCTTCACTCAGTCCTGAACTTGACCAGCTTCTTTGTTAACTTTCCATGTGGATAAATTTTCATAGGATATCACTATCCTAAAAACTCTTTTTAATTACTATCCTTAGGAGCATAGAAACAAAGTCACTGACCTGAATTGCATTGTCGCTCTTTAGGAAGCAGATACATGAGCAAGCAGTTCAACAAATGAACTTTATTTTCATCCCAACTGTCTTAGGGGGAAGAAACTTCTTAAATAGTGAGTGACACTTTACGTTTCTACATAGCACATCTAAAATTGACATTGCAGCTGGCATGGTGGTACACACCTGTAATCCTTTCACTCAGAGGTTGAGGCAGGAAGACTGGAAGTTTGAGGACAGCCTGGGCTACATAGTGAATTTTAGTCCAGCCTGAGCTACGAGCAAGACTCTATGTCTCAAATAATACAGTAATAATAGAATAAAATTACTTGCATATTTGCTTCTTCATTTAGTTGCTGTTCATATTTTATAAAAGAAAATGGGTATGGATGCCCTGACCTGAGTCGTTCATCTCTGATTAATTTATCTATTTATTACTCTTGAGCCCATAACTTTTTTCTATGCTTTGTTATCAAAGTGTTTTGGTGCCATTGCAAGGATTTTTCTGGGGTTGCCTTGTTAGAAGAGCAACCAGGGAGTGTTTAAAAGTTGTTCATGGAGCTTCCCCAGCCCTAGCTGAGGCTCTACTGGCAATTGATAAATGTTCAGAAAGGAAGAGTCAGTTTTCCTTACTGGTGTGACTCCAAGGGAGAGTTCCATACCCAAGAGCATTTAGGAAACACAAATTAGATTGACAGGCCTTTTAAAAAAAGACAACTAATATTAGGGAGCATGAAGTCAGGGGGTTAGTAAGGTGGGTATAGAGATGGGGAAGGGGGCCTTAATATGATCAAAATATGTTGTATGAAATTCTCTAATTAATGAAAGTATTTTAAGTTGTTCATTGAAATATTTAACAGAGTGTGAGAGCCAGGAAGGCATATAGAGACCAGTTCCAGCCTCCTCATGCTACCTATAAAACAAGACTCTGAAGCCCACAGGCCTACATTCTTGAAGCTTGATCCACAAGTCCCATTTGTGACAAAATTATGATTATCCTGTCCCCATCCCAGAAGTTCACTATCCCTCTTGCAGCTCCGCCTTCACAATCAAACTTAAGAGGAGAGTTACAGCTAGTACACAATAAAACCAGCAGCCCCCCTATCCTGCCATTATTTGATAAAACAGATTGATCCTATTGATTGTAAGATCTGAAACAACTGGTAGAAGACAGTTTGCAGATAATCTGGAGTCATCCTTGATTTTATGAATGTGACAAAGATGAGGTCTAGAAAAGCAAACAAAGGTCCCCCCAGCCTGAACCTGGGTCTCCAACTCCCCAGTCACTGAGCTACTTTGTGCTTAGTAGCCCTGTTCTCAACTGTGCTCAAAGAGCCAGGTGTCACCCAGCTTGTCAGAGTCAGTTTAACTTAAACTTTTTCAGACACAGGTGCCTGACTAAGTGCTCGCTTTGCTATGGTGATGGTGATCAGGCATCAGCCACTGGCTCTGAGGATGTGTTCCCAGAGCAACATGGAGAGTGAGCTGCCAGCACTGAAGGATCAGGGAATGCAGCGTGTTGAGCCAGTTAAACATCTCAAACTGCCCTGTCTCTCAAAAATAAGGGTGCCTCATCAGAGAGCTTTTGTGACTAGAGGAGCCATTGGGCCTGAAAGCAGCACACTCAGGGGTCCCAGATTCCCTGCCTCAAGTCCTCACTTGCAGTTTTTCTGGAACCTACAATGAATACTTGCTCCACTCCTAAAATCTGCCCCTCTTCCCAGAAGACCCAGTCCCCAAGACCCTGCCCTAGACAATTTAGCACTTGGTTCTACACTTCCTTTCTTGCTTCTTAACCATTTTCAGTGTTTGTTTTATGGCTGACACAGATTACAAATTCTCTGAGAGAGCCTAAGCTTCCTTTTCTATGCCCACAGTATATCTCAAGGTGTTCTCAAAAAGTAGACTCACAGACTCATGCTCACCTTGTGTTTTCACAAACAGCAGGGTGCTCCACAAATCCTTACTTCTTGCACTGAGTCTTCAGCCTTTGCAAAGAAAGAGCTCAACAGTCAGACCTCTGCAAACTGGAGAAAGGGTACCCATCCCTCACAGGCAGACACAGTCCGGCCAGTGTGCATGGCCAGGCAAGTGGAGCATGGATTGTGTTTCAACACCTGGGCTGGGGACCTGGGGCAGTGAGCCCCCTGTACCACCTGGGCTGTAGCTCCTTGTGGAGGATTGTTCTGACCATGGCTCTTCTCAGTCCTCCATTCCAGTGGGAATGGCCTGCCTTGGGAAAGCTGGTATCAGACACTTCCCAGCCTGCTTTCTAGCATCCTTTGTCAAGGAAAAAAATGACCACACACACACACACACGCACACACATGCATGCACGCACACACACACACACACACACACTACCTACAATAGTACCTCGCTGCATACACTCCCAGCAGGGTATTTAGAGACCCTCTCCCACCCCATCGTTCTCCTCTTCTGTTGGGATGGCCCCAAATTTATATGAATTGTCCTACTTCTTGACTTTTACTTCCTCTGAATATAGAGAGCCCTTTCCTCCTAAGCGTTGAGTTAGATGCCTATGGCCCTTTCTAATCCCACCCCTAATTCTGCTTCCTCCATATTCTCTTAATCAGACTGTTTCTTGGTACTCTGCTTTCCTATCCCTTTGTGCCTTTCACATTGCTCTAGCTGTTATTGCAACACTTTTCCTGTGTGTTACTAGGATGGAATTCAGGGGCCAGCTGTCTCAGTCCTCTAACTGCAAGGCTTCTGGGTATTTACCTTGTATCAACTTAGATACTTAACTCAATGTCACCCTGAATCCTTTAAAGGGGGATTTTGACTTCACAAATAATGTATTTTATAGGAGCAAGCACCTTCATAGTCTACCATGTGGCAAACTTTCTTTACAAGTTCTTTACAACTAATCTTTACAAGCATTTCCACTCTCTAAATTACTGCTTGGCATCCCTTTCTGGAGTTCCTATTATTCTTCACAACATGATCCTGGCCAAGCTGAATCTCTACACTCTACTCTGTCTTCTACTTGACTTACTCATTGGTCCCATAAGGCTTATTATCTCCTTAAAAGACAGAACAACTCCATATCGATCCACCTGCAATCATGCACCCCTAAATTCCATCATGATGTTCAACCAATCCAAGCTTTCCTTCAATTTAGCCTTCTCTAGAATGAGTTTGGAATAAGCATAGCCAGTTGTGTGTGTGTGTGTGTGTGTGTGTGTGTGTGTGTGGCATGTATGCAGCTGTGTTTGTCTGCACAGGATGCTTTTCAGAAGCCAAGGGCTGCATATTTCAGTCACTCAGCAGAACACAGTAAAGATACATATAGTAAGCCTATGCCCAAAGTTTTCCTCTAAAAAGGACAGGATAGGAACAGTTCTAAGCCCTTTCTGTCTCTGCATTACTCTTTCCTCCCAAGTAAGGTCTAGGACTGGAGTCAGTGGAAGTGTCTGAAAAAGGTGGTAGGAACTTAATAAATACTTGTGAAATGAATGAGTCAGTTATGATAGGGAAATGGGAAAAGACAGAAGAAGAGCTTAAATATCAACAACAGAATACCTTCAAGAGCAAACTGTTGGTCAAGGGGAAGGGAGCTCCAAGAAGCTACCCAGGGAGAAAGGTGACCTGTGAATAGTCAGCAGCAGAATGAAGTGTGAGTACAGGGTTCCAGCGTCAGCTTTGCCTTCGTTACCATGTGGAACCGTCGGTAGCTTTGGGCCTCAGCTCCTCATCTGCTCCTGCTTTCAGATGGCCCAATCTGAACAGCAACATCAGGGTCCTGTGTGCTTTTTGACACTGTGTTAGCAGTTTCATGCCAGATGCCCGGACACCCAGAGCCCCTTGGCGCCTCTGCACTGTGCAGAAAGCTTTTCTTGGCTGCAGTTTCCGCAGGGACCTTCGTTGCCCACTAGCAGAAAAGAATTCTTGGCTGTGGAAACTGGTAAACTCCACATATTTTACAGATGAGCCATAAACTCCTGGTGACTCTAAATGTGGTGTGAAATGGACAGAAGTCATCCTGCTGATGTGACATGCCTGAAATAGCATTACACCACCATTGCCCCCACGCAGACACGGACGTCATGGAAAGAGAAGATGCAACAAGCCACTGCCTCAACCTCTCACTCCCAGCTCATTTCCCACTTTTTTTAGAAAAAGAAATAGGCTATTTGCCCTGCAGGAAAACAGTCCAAAGTCACCTAAAGGCAAAGGAGGGAACTGTCAGCCCACAGTCCTAAGATCTCATCCATCCACCAGAGCCCAGCTGTGGCCAGCTGCACTGATCCCCACCATTCATACCACTGCCACTGGGGTCAAGGTTGTCAGCAATGTCCTCCTGGAAAAGATCGATGAGGAATAGTAGAGATACGGAATTCCTGGAAAACAAAGAACTTGCTTATCTTTTTTAATATTTTATTTTTTATCTTTTGTATTTTTCCTCTAATTTGGTTGACATATTCACGCAGCCCAGACCCCCAGTTTCTAGGTTAAGAAGCAAGCAGTCAGAGCATACTGTATTTTTTCAAGTCATGTCCTCCCCTCTTAGGTCAACTGGTCTCTGGCACCCACCACTACTGCCTCCTATCTAACCCAAACCCTGCTTGTAAGGAGCGCCCTGATGGAGCGCACACAGGTTCCACGGAACGGCTCCGCATTCGTGGATGTGCACAAGTGCTTAAATATGTACACTCGGATGTTTGTGTGTGGCGCGTGTATGTGCGCGCGGGTGTGTGGTGGGGGCGGGCTCTGCGCCCAGGGGCAGGGCTCCGCAGTGAGAGTGGCAGCTGGACTTGGATGCTGCTGGGGACAGGGTGCAGAACCGCAGTGCTATAGTAGCAGGCAGTAGAAGCAGACTGCTCTCCCCGCGGAACCCAGCGGATCCCGAGCTGCCCACCCTCCGCTGGCCGCCGGATCTGCGCGGCGCGCACCCGGGCCTCCATCCCCCACCCCAGAGAGGGCTGTGCCTCGGGAAGACACCCGGACGCCCGCGTCGGTCCCCTTGGTGTCTCTGTTCCTCTTTCCTCCCAAGTAAAGGAATAAGCAGCGAGGAAGGAGCGCCCCCAGCAACGGCGCAACCAAGTGTTGCTTGGTGAGGTAAGACCGCCACCAGCGCGAAGGAGGGGGTCTCGAGCTCTGGGGACGCGGTGCAGCAACTTGGAAAAGCAGGGAAAAAGGGGAGCCCGTTCCAAAAGAGCCGCAGACGAGGCCGCTGCATCCATCCTGACAGCGCCACCTGCCACAAAGCCGGTCAGGACGGGATGCTCCAGGGGAGGGTGCAGGGTGGGGCCCTCTCCCTCGCCATCCTGAGGCCGCCCAAACCCGAAGGTGAGCGGACCCCCGGAGGCCTGGCTTCAGCAGTTTCCTGGAGCAACTGGTCAAATGCCTTCCCTTTCTTGCGTTGGTTCGTCGGTGTCCAGTTCTCGCCAGGGGTAGCCCGAGAGCAGCAAGGAGCGGGGAACGTCTTTCTAATGCTTGACCTCCAGAGCCTCTGAGAGTCCCATGCGGTTCTAAGACTTTGGGACATTCCAAGTTCAAAGCCTGTGGGGTGGAGGTTCAGAGGTTTATTTGCCTTGGCAAATAAAACGGAGAGGGTCGGAGGGAACCTAAAGAGACAAGACATGTCTATGTGTTTGTATCTTGACAAGTGTAAACCGGTATCACCTGTGGGGCTTTCGAGAATTCCACCGGTCCTCCCCACCCTACGTGTTCTCAGATTCTTGTCGGGACTAGTGGACTAGAATTTAAGGGGGAGGGTATGGAGTTCTGAAAAGCCTTACAGGTAATTCCGGTGCGCTGTCTCCATCCCCGCCATCATTGCAATGGAAAGCGTCGGGCAGGGAAGAGAGGACCCAGATGACAGCAGTCCAGCTGTGGAATCCCGGGGGCGCGGGAGGGTCTGCGGCATGGCCAAGTGACTGGGCTTCCAGGCTGCTAGATTATCTCCCCGGGCCTCATTAGCATATGATGACCTCGCTCTGGGGAGGAGGGCATAGGAGAGCTGTTCGTCATGCCTTTGCTTCAGGAGCTGGGGGTGGAGGGCACACCATACATCTGGAGGTGTACAGCAGTCACCTCCAGATGTGATGGGGGGAAAGTACTCAGAAGGCAAGACTGTAAATTGCCCCTCTGGTCTGGATGGGGGCATCGACTTTGTTACTTTGGTATCTGGGATTCTGAGTTTATAAAACAGCTAGCTCCCAGAGCCACTTGGTGGAGCACAGGGTACCTTCACTGTCAATGAAGGGCGTTGGATCACTGCTGCAAATTTTAAGAACTTGAGGGCGCATATGCCTTTTATGCCCCCCCCCCGAGTCTACAGGTGCATCCTAAAGTGGGAGGGTGTTTCTTGCTAAAAAGACTGTGTTTGCCAGAAATTCCACTTTGAATATAAACTATACTCATTAAATAAGGGAACTGCACCTAATTTCTTGTTGTGCTCCTGATATCTCTCTCTCTCTCTCTCTCTCTCTCTCTCTCTCTCTCTCTCTCATAGGCATTAGGCATTTTTTTTTCTGGGAGAGATCTGGGGGTGGGAAGGCAATAGATGAATACTTTCCATTTTGCATTTGTGTGTCCAAACATGTGTTACAGATTCATGTGAATGTGCATGTGATGGCCAGCGGTTGACTTTATGGGTCTTTCTGCATTGCTCTCCACCTTATTCTTTGAAGCAGGGTCTCACTGTACCCAGAGCCCACAGATTCAGCTAGACTGGCTGGCCAGCAAGCCCAGAAACCTTCCCATCTCCACCTCCCCAGTGCTGTGCCTAACTTTCCACACGGGTGCTGGGATCCCAACTCAAATCACCAGCCTTACAACTGAGCCATTTCCTTTGCCACCATCCATTTTACACTGTTTATGTAGTGCTTTGTTCAGATCAACTGAGACAAACATCAGAGCAGCCTGAAATGTAACAGAATCTCAGAAATGGAAGACATGACCATGATAATCTCTTCCAGCTTCTCCACTGCCCACCCACCTGCTCACACAACATCAACAGGTGTCAAGGACCTCTCCAGCCTTGACCCTCCCTGAGGTCTCAGCACACATGAAGCTCTATCAGGCTGGGCCCTAGCTCCTCCCCTGGAAGGGAAACAGGAAGGGGGAAGAGAAGTGCTGTTTCATTGTAACATTTTTTTAAAAAAATATCCTACTGTATTACCACATTATGATGTACTCTTTAATATAATAGTAGTTCCTGCCATTGTAGAAAATTTGGGAAGTTGAAAATGAAAAACTTGCCCATGACTCCCACCATCCAGAGCCCACACTGTTAATCATTGACATATTTTTCCATCTATTTTTATGCCTTGAAATCATATAGTCCATAGGGGGCTAGAATTTGTAGGTAACCTAATAAATGTACTTTGCATGGTGTTAATCATTTCCTCTTCATTATGTTATTTAGCCCTCAGAAGTCTCTCTGAGAAAGGTGTTATTATTATCAACACCGTTTTTCTAGGATGGAATCAAGTTCGGGTGATTTGGCCCAGTGGCCATATTCAAACCCAAGTATGATTCCAAAACAAGGTCACTATTGCTCCTTTGTTTTTTTGTTTGGGTTTTTTTTTTTAACTCAATTGGTCTTGTAGTGAGAGTCTTTGATGTCCATTTCCCAGCTGTGTATTGTAATACTGTTAGCAATTGAAATTGTTTACTCTCTTCAGCAAATACAAATGAGTCTTGCCAAAGTCTTTACTGTGCACATTTACAGTTCCTTCTTTGGGATAGGTTCCCAGAAGGAGAGTCACTGGGTCAAAGCACATACCATTTGGAGGTTCCTGATAAGTACATGAGAAGCCTATCAATAGGGCTACACCAGTTTATACTTCTGTTTCTCAGAGGCAGCTCTATTATTGTCTAAATAAGTAAACCTTAACTACTGTAGAATTGTCCAGAACTTAGCAGGACCAAGCTATGCACATGAGCATCCCATGGCCTAATGGGAAAAGTCAAACACATTACCCTAATTTATATGCTTACATATGAATATTGACACTGTTTCACACAAAGCTATACCTGTTTCATTATTGTTGTTTCTCTGAGACAGAGTCTCACTATGTAGACCAGACTGGCCTCAAACTCCCAGCAATCCTCCTGTCTCAGTCTCCCAAGTGCTGGGATTACAGGCTTGAGCAACCATGCTGCTTAGTTTTAAAGCTATACCAATTTTTATGTGAACAACTGTGGGTTGGGCAATTCTATAGCTGAGCATTACATATTAACTTGGAGCCAAACTACTGTGCAAAACATATAAATGTATATAATATTCAGTATCTTCACATAAGTGGTTCTAGGAATCCTCATTCTTTTTTTAAAATTTTTTTATTTTCTGTGTATGAGTGTATTATTGCCTGAATGTATGTGAATGCACCTGTGTTATGCAATGCTGCAGAGGTCAGAAGAGGGCTTCGGGCTCCCCGATCTGGCCGCCATGTGGGTGCTGGGAATCGAATCCAGGTCCTCTGCAAGAGTAGTCAGTGCTCTTAACTGCTGAGCCATCTTTCCAGACCCTGAATTCTCTTTTTCTTTTTTTTTTTTTTCCTTTTTTTTTTGGTCTTTTTGAGATAGGGTCTCCCTGTAGCCCCAGCTGTCCTGGAACTCACTATGTAGACCAAGCTGGCCTTGAACTCACAGAGATCCGCCTGCCTCTGCTTCCCAAGTGCTGGGACTACAGGCATGTACCACCATGCCTGGCTTTTTCTTTTAAATGTGATCACCATCACAGCCAGGTTTGGCAGTCTCAAGCCAGTAGTCACATACTGGCCAGATTCATAGAGCTATTTGTTTACACCAAGCACCACAATCCCACAGCTGACCCTATTGGGGATTGATGCCACCTTGTAAGTAAGAGAGCTTATCCAGTCAAACAACAGGAATACAACCCTTTAAAAACACTCAAGATTAATAACTATTAAGAAAACAATTTTAAAAATAAGGTTGTGGGCTTCAGAAATGGCTTAGACTGTAAAGTGCTCGCCATGCAAGCTTGGAGATCTGGTTTTAGATCCGAGCACCACATAAGAAAAAAAAAAAAAAAAAAAACAGGCATTGTGGCACATGCCTATAATCCTAGTGCTGGGGAGATGGAGACAGGAGGATCCCTGGGGCTTGTTGGCCAGCCAGCCTAGCTGTATCAGTGAGCTTCAGGTTCAGTGAGAGACCCTGCCTCAAAATAAAAAGTGGAGAGTGATTGAGGAAGACAGACACATACACACAAACAGAGGCCATTTTAAAAGAATATGAACTGGCCCTAGCAATGGGTTTTCTTTAGAACCGTGTTTGTCTTGGAGCTACCTGTACCATCAGCCATGGGCTCAGAAGCCCTGAAATGTGATACGCTGCTGTACATGGAGTAAATATCAGTTGAGTCCCACTCTGCAATCAACTGTCCAAGACTCAGCTCAGGTCCTAACAGGTCCTTCTGAGGATCCCTCCGCCATGGTTCATGGGGATGGATGTCACGTCAGCCCCACAGCACTTGTATTCTTAACTGACTGGGGTGAAAACACTTCTTTGCATATATCCTCACTAAGCTGCAAGCTTCCTGAGGGCAAAGCTGTGCCTAAGTCTCCACTGCATCCTCAGCACCTGAAATTTATGCATAGGTGACGATTCAATATAATGAAACAACACATAATAATTTTGCAGGTGCTGTTCTGGGTGTTTTAAGCATATTTCTCTTTCAATGCATCTTTATTCTGATCAGGCTGGCTAGTCTCAGAAACATACCTGAGATATATTGTGCCATCTATTTTCACATCTCTCTTTCCATATTTACTTAAATCTTCAAAATAAAATTAAATGAAAAACTCGGCTCCTCAGTCATATTGGTCACATTACTAGAGCTCAAATGCCACATGCAGCTATTGGCTGCCACATTGGAAAACATACATAAAGAATATTTGCTTCACTGCAAAAAGTTCAACAGAACTATGCTACCTAGAGTATAGCCTGGGTGCAGGCAAGGGTGTATCTGCATCTGTCTTGTTTCCTAACACATCCTTTCCACTAGCACCGTGTCTGTCCCAGAGGAAAAAAGGAGGAAAGTAGAGGAGTGATGGTGGAGGACAGTAATATTAGCCTAATAAGCA